ACCTTAAACCGCATAAACCCATTTCATTACACCAAATACACAAAATAATGTTCTTTTTAGCAACATCATATGACCCCTTTAATAAAAGTTTTAGATAACAGTAACAACACTGTCCTCAAGCACACTTTCTACAATATAAAGTGTTCTCAGAATTCATATTTGCAATATAGTTGTATACAGTTGGAAGGAAGATAACACTGGAATTTCGGTGTTATTGGCTGGAATAGTGAAAACATTATTAGCTAGTTGAGTCTAATTCTCAATCGATTGCTTTGTGTTAGACCGCTCTAGTCTGCGAACGGGAAGCGTCATGACGAATTCTACTATGGCGAAGGCTGTGCTCATGAATAATAATGAAGTGACGCCAGCGGCATATTTGATTGGCTGCAAAGCTGACGTTGGTAAATGAGCGCTTGTGAAGACTCGCGACTGGACGCTAGAGGAAGGTTACGAGGTGACGTCAGTATGACCGCATTAATATTCATGAGCCGAACCTTCAGCATAGTAGGACTCTGCCAAAAGCTATTTAGAGTCAAATGAACTCGAGTCGGTCCGTCTGTAACTACAGTCAGTCAGAATGCAAAAACAGGGAGATGTCTACTACGACTGGATTAAGTGGTAAGAAAAGTGCTCTCGGTTAGATATAAATGTAAACAAAGTAAACCGATAACTACAGAGATCTCTTTATGTATATAAATACGAACGTCTTTTCTATTAGTTCGGTTCGACAGGAACATTCCGAGTAGACATAAATATCTCGGTTCTTCTGGTGAAGTGTGTTAACTCTGGCTGTGTCTCAAAACCTAGTGAGCTGCCTACCTAGAGAGCACACTTCTAAAGCGCCGAAGATGCTGGAATGTTCTAACATTAGGAACACTTCTGATGTTCAGACATGCTGACTAGATAGGATTTGAAATAGAAACAATGTACAGGTGATAATCTGACCGGGTTGTATTTCTATGTATTTGCTTCTAACTTTATTTATTTGTTTCTTATTATTTGCTTGTTTATCACTAACATTATTAAGTATTATATATATGTATATATAATATTATTATTTTATTAGTATACATTATTATTTTCCGGAAACTTTCCATGGGAACTTAATCTGGGGAATTTTGGAAATACTCCAAGTTTGAAATTTACCAGGAATTTATGGGAATTAATTGGAACTTTATAAAACTGTATCATATACAAACATAAATCTAAACATTTTGTTTGATCATAGGCTCACATGCATGCAAACGAATACAAATTTTAAAAATGACATTTTTGGATTTTTTTGGGGGGGGATCTGTGATGCTTTTTCAGTATTTATAGATGAATAAAAACTTATGAACAGTGTTTATTCAAAGTAGGAATCTTTTCTAGCAATATATGTTTAATCTAACACATCCTTGTTGAATAAAAGTATTAATTTATTGTAAAAAAAAATAAAGAAAAGATACTGACCCCAAACTTTTGAATGGTAGTATATTGTTAAAAAATTATTTCTACAGGTATTTTAAATAAATGCTGATTAATTGGAACTTTATAAAACTGTATCATATACAAACATAAATCTAAACATTTTGTTTGATCATAGGCTCACATGCATGCAAACGAATACAAATTTTAAAAATGACATTTTTGGATTTTTTTGGGGGGGGATCTGTGATGCTTTTTCAGTATTTATAGATGAATAAAAACTTATGAACAGTGTTTATTCAAAGTAGGAATCTTTTCTAGCAATATATGTTTAATCTAACACATCCTTGTTGAATAAAAGTATTAATTTATTGTAAAAAAAAATAAAGAAAAGATACTGACCCCAAACTTTTGAATGGTAGTATATTGTTAAAAAATTATTTCTACAGGTATTTTAAATAAATGCTGTTTTTTTTTTTTATTTTACTCTTAATTTATCAAAGAATCCTGAAAAAAGGAATCACAGGTAATAAAAAAAATATTATTATAAATATTATATACCAAAATTGATAATAAATCAGCATATTAGAATGATTTCTGAAGACTCATGTGACACTGAGGACTGGAGTAATGATGTTCAAATATTCATGCTTTGCATTAAAACAGAAAACTATTATTTTAAATTGTAATACCGGTAATACTGCATAATATTATTGTTTTGTTCTGTATTTTTCATCAAATAAATGAAGGCTATGAAAATGAAAAAAATATATATAATAATTGTCAGTCTTTGTGAGACATTGGATTGTACTGGATATCAATTTTAACCTAAAATCTTGATGTTAAAAAAAAGTGTAATTCAAACTTTTTTTTCCTTTTCATTTGGACTGATGTCTCCTCACTTTCTACTTCATGAGTGTCTTTTTGAAATTTAAGCAGGGTATCTAGTCCATTCCAAGGTCGCAAAAACGACATGTTCATCAGAAATTAATTTATAATATCAAAGTGTTTAATCAAACACATAATGGGCAGTTTATTACAATTGCACTGAAACAGAAGTAGCAACAGATCTTGTCTTCTGTATTTTGACGTTCATCTGAGTGTAATAGACTATCTGTCGTTTCAACAAAAGGTCCAGTTTTGACATTTGGATTAAACATTACAAAGTCAAAAAAAGGGAACTTACGCACAAATAAATTGTACTGTAAATTTCATGCTGACTTTAATCAAGTCTTCATGTTTCTGGCTATGTCTTTCTTCATCGGCGTTGAAACATGTAGCTCGGCGCCAGCATAGTGCAGGCCAATATTAGCCAGTCAAAGCCGTATAAACGACTTGTTACCAAACTTTATTGTGTTAATGCAGCAACCATTGTTGCCAAACCTTTCCTTTGAAATTTCCTGCCCTGGATGAAATAGTTTTGAGGAAGCTTATGTTTGTTTTTAGTCCCTCCCACATTCCTCTTTTCTACACCCTCATGACTTCTGATTCATGATGGCACAGTAACACTTTGACCTGTTCTGCTCCGCTTGTTATCAGAGGAGATCATCTCTTACAAATTGCTGTAGCAAACTCGCTTTTAATACGATCAGGAATTTGAGTGCTAGAAAAGAGCTGTAGGACTCACAGTTCCTGAAAAACTCTCCCCTGAAATTATGAGATATCTGCCTTGTGTTTAAGTGCTGGTTATGTAATGCTGTAGACTAATCTGAGTTGAGCTTTGTCTGTGAAATCTGTCTCCACTTTTGCAGAAAGAGCAGACGCAGCCAACAACAGCGGACAGAAGAAAGAGGACGAGCGGACCAGAGGAGACGGTGTGCATGAAAGGTACATTCCCCACTTTATTGCAGACACAGTTAGCTCGGGTCATTTTTATGTTGTTTTCGTAAAAGCACACACACACTATGTGTAGTTCTAACAATTCTACTTCTCCTGGCTGTTCCTGATTTAAACCAGGACCTGTCAGCTGTCGGCCTGTGGGCCAGATTCAAGCCCGTCGATCAGTTTTAGTAGACTGTCCTATTGATTTAGATGAAATCACTGCTGCCTGGTACCAGAAACCAAACTAGCTACTAGACTTATACAGTATATTTTCAGTTATAGTAAATATGTTTTAAAAGCATGAATCGGCACATTAGTTGTTTTTTATATAATGTTTAAAGAAAGGGTCAATGTACGCACATCCAAAAATGTCTTGGCCAGGTGTAAGACCAAAAGGTACATCAAATAATAGAAAAAAGACGGCAACGGTGTGTTTATCTGACGAAGATCTTTGACCGAAACGTTGCTATTTTAAACTTTTTTGAATAAAGGGAGAATAACAGTGTGCAGATCTTTTACTATTATTTGATTTAATGCATCGTCATTCATGGCGACAATTTGCAGATAAATCTTCAGTCATTAAAACGTGATCACAACAATTGAAACCGTGTCATGTCAGCTCACTTGTGCAATGATGTGTCATATTCTATCAAAGAGAAATCAATGACAACAATAAAAACTTTTATTCTGTTTTAGCATTATTTGTTAGAGTGTGAAGTCATATTTAACCAAAAATCGTAATACCTTAAAATAATACTTCCACATTGTGTTTATTTTAGTGCTGTCAAAAATAGCGTGTTAATGCAGGTGATTAATTTTTTCAGTTTAACGCGTTAAAAATATTTAACGCAATTAACGCAGTGGGGCGGGGCTGTAGGATTGGTCACCTCACTCACAACTGCGATTAAAGCTGCCTTAAAACTGTGCATGCATGTAATATGTTATGTTATGGTTTAAGAACATGTCTCTGAAATGGTTTTCACCATTAACACACTAACACACCCGATTTAACTCGTCAGCTCATTAGTAGATTTTAAGACCTGAATTGGGTCAGAAACGGTAAAGAGAGTTGAGAGAAAATACAGTGCGTGTTAGATCCACGTCATGTTCAGCAGAGGCAACTCTTAAAAGGGGTCATATGATGTTGCTAAAAAGAACATTATGTTGTGTATTTGGTGTAATGCAATGTGTTTATGCGGTTTAAGGTTCAAAAAAACACATTATTTTCCACATAATGTACATTATTGTTTATTCTCTATGCCCGCCTTTCTGAAACGCGTCGATTTTTACAAAGCTCATCGGTCTGAAAAGCGAGGTGTGCTCTGATTGGCCAGCTATCCAGTGCGTTGGGATTGGCCGAATACCTTAAGTGTGTGACGGAAATGTTACGCTCCTTACCATATTGTGTTTCCATGTGTCCCGGCGCGATGAGACAAAACCAATAAAACCCCTTACAAATGAGGCATTTGTTGCATCCAGTGAGGACATAATTACTGATTATAATGACTTGTACTGTGTTTTTACGCTTTGCGTTGCGTATTGCACCGCATAAACATAAAACCATGTCTGCATTTGTGATCGGAGAAATGACAAACAACAAGCGCTACTCTACACTGCTCAAAACTCGCGTTTGAATCATCAGTGGATTCGACAAAGGAGGCTTGCGGCACCCACATGTGACGACCCCGGGCTGGACTCCGCTTCGTCCACAGTGAAAGCCGATCTGGCGATCCACAGCGCAAAGTTGATGTATTTCCTCAGCGACCAGCACGGATCAGCTCCAGGCATGACGAAGCGATATCGTCCTCTTTTGGAAGACCAAACAAAGTAGTTTCGCTTTCACAATGAAACGCACAGCATCTCCATAACATGGCGGCAGCGGCAACAATACTACAGCAAGAATAAAAGTTACGCCTTCTTTCTTTGCGTGAACATTTGGGCGGCGTTATGCAAATCCTCCCACATAGTGACGTAGACATGTGGGAGCATGTTAGAACGAGCCATTTTAGGTAGGCGTGGTTGACTCTTTAACTTTTATAAAGAATATCTCTTTGGATTTGATACTTTAGTCTTTGCAACTTTACAGATCTTCTTTATGCACTTCTTTAGAGCTTGTAACACTCCAAAGAGAAAGGAAAACTTGAAATCAAATCATATGACCCCTTTAAAGCAATAGCAGGCAAATAACCTACTATTAACCTGTGCAAATAAATTACCAATGGTTAAATATTAGGAGTGGCTCGATACCATTTTTTCAGAACCAATCCCGATCCGATACCAAAAATTCTGAATAACAGACGATACCGATACCAGCGCAGTATATATTTATAAAAATCAGTGTAGAATTTCTATACCTCAGTGTGTTGACCTGATCATCACTCTTCTATGTGTTACACACAATCTACTAAATATAGACAACTGCATTATAAAGAAAAGTAATTATTATAAAGAAAATGAAAAAATATATAATCATAATCTATGACAAAAATACTATTATGAACTAGGTTAGTGGATAATTCAGTAGTAAAAGTTACTCTAGAAAAATCGTGATGCACAATCATTTTATAAACTCTAAACATTTAGTGAAAAAACTATGTAGTGGGGAGCAAATAAAAGTAAATAGGTGTAGGACTAAATCTGGTAAAATGTTGCTCACATTGCACATTGCTCTTTGTATTGTTGTAATATACATTAATGAAAAACAATAAATATATGTATATATAAATATATACTATAAAATTAAAAGACCTTTCTTTTAAATGTATAGCACAGTAATGAGGCAGCAACATATGATAGATAAGATACTAAAGCCACTAAACTCCAGCGAGATAAAGTCCTTTTATGCAAAACCATTGATCTTTATCTACAGATCAAGTATAATTATAGGAACACTGAATCATCTTGATGAGAGTTTTATCGTCTTGACTGTCGTAACCAAACGGGACGCGCAGTTTGAACACTGAATGAAGGATGACTGACAGCCGCAGCAGAGAGGAGAGTTTACGTGAACTTGACTTAAATATTCATCTGTACCTCACATTATACTACGGAACGGCTTCAGAACACTTGGAATATAGTGCACAAAAACTTTATTGTGCTTTATAATGTTTTTGTGCCTTTCGTGGGGCTTAACAATAACACATAATTGTTTACGCACAATATCGGATTTGGATCGGTCTCGTTGGAACGATACCCCGATCCGGCAGAAAATGCCAGTATCGGAGCGGCACACCTCTATTAAATATTAGGGGGGGATACTACGGAACGGCTTCAGAACACTTGGAATATAGTGCACAAAAACTTTATTGTGCTTTATAATGTTTTTGTGCCTTTCGTGGGGCTTAACAATAACACAGAATTGTTTACGCACAATATCGGATTTGGATCGGTCTCGTTGGAACGATACCCCGATCCGGCAGAAAATGCCAGTATCGGAGCGGCACACCTCTATTAAATATTAGGGGGGAAAAAAATATTTTATAGGGACATCAGTAGTGTTGGTATCAGTGATACTGGCTTTCAGACATAAAAAAGATGGCATTAAACAAATATTAAAAATATACTGTCTTTATGTTGTTTGTACATTGATCTGAAGATTGAATGTGAAATTATTGCAATGTGAAAGTATATTTAAGGACTTTAATGTTAGGTGGGATTAATTGCGATTAATTTTTAAGAAAAAAATGTGCGATTAATTGGTTAATTTTTTTAATTGATTGACAGCACTAGTTTATTTACATTAATTACTTTTTATTTGTTTTTTTTGCTTTTCAGCCAATTAAATCTTAATCTGTCCTTTCAAGAGGAAATTGTTGCATCTGGATGTAACATATTGCTTGTTGTTTCATCATATGGGTGGAAGAAAAAAAATCGATTCACATATGAATTGCGGTTTTGTCTTCTACTACTTTCACAAATTTCAAAAAGCAATTTTAAGTTTTAAATTGTTTTACTTTGCTGTACTACTGAATGCTATTGGCATGTTAGAGTATTAATGAAACATGCATGAATGAGAAAATAAAGAATGGAATGTGTTTGATGGTAAAATCAGCTACTATACTAAGTACAATAAGCCGCAATGACGTGCTCGCGCTGATGGACACACATCCAAACCACACGTATAGAAAGCCTGTGTTCTGACGATTTGTGCTAGCCGCTCAGATTGTGCTACCTCCCATTAAAAAGATAGGTAGCACAAATGGATAGTGAAAAATTCTACCTATCAGTTTGTGCTACCAGCATCTTATTCATGTGGTTTGAGGCTTTTTTTAATGTCCACACCTACCCTAACCCTAAACTTACCCTTAAAACAATGCAAATATATTTTTGGTTAAATCTTAATCTGTCCTTTCAAGAGGAAATTGTTGCATCTGGATGTAACATATTGCTTGTTGTTTCATCATATGGGTGGAAGAAAAAAAATCGATTCACATATGAATTGCGGTTTTGTCTTCTACTACTTTCACAAATTTCAAAAAGCAATTTTAAGTTTTAAATTGTTTTACTTTGCTGTACTACTGAATGCTATTGGCATGTTAGAGTATTAATGAAACATGCATGAATGAGAAAATAAAGAATGGAATGTGTTTGATGGTAAAATCAGCTACTATACTAAGTACAATAAGCCGCAATGACGTGCTCGCGCTGATGGACACACATCCAAACCACACGTATAGAAAGCCTGTGTTCTGACGATTTGTGCTAGCCGCTCAGATTGTGCTACCTCCCATTAAAAAGATAGGTAGCACAAATGGATAGTGAAAAATTCTACCTATCAGTTTGTGCTACCAGCATCTTATTCATGTGGTTTGAGGCTTTTTTTAATGTCCACACCTACCCTAACCCTAAACTTACCCTTAAAACAATGCAAATATATTTTTGGTAGCACAATCTGATAGGTAGCATGTTTCGTCGGTACACCGGCTCTCTCAGACAGCATGCAATCCCAAATTCAGTTCTTTTTCGCAACTTATTGCACTTGAATGGTCAAATACAGACACAGTTATGCCAAAATGTGCCATTGGCTGGAGTATTCGTGTAAACACAGTCTGCCATGTTCTATGCGAACGTAAACAGTTAGGAGAAAATTGGATGTTTATCAGTATATTAAATCCGCACATTTGTTCTTAAAGTGACCGCAACCTAATAAACTGTTGCTGTCTGTTTTATTAATGTTTTTTCATTAATGCATCAAACAACAAAAAAAAAGAGAAAATCACTAACTGTTTTTGAATGAATGACTTAATTCATACAATGAAGACTATGCAGTATTTTTTACATTTGATTGTTCAATTTAGTATTTCTTACTACATGTTAAATAAACCTGGGTTACTGTACTGAAAAACTAATTTGTATATTTTTTTCTATTGTATTGGATTAATTTTTTTGTAATTTGCTTTTTCGTTGGGTCTTACAAGGGTACTTGTGATCTTACAAGGGTAAATAAAGAACTGGTTGTTTCAAAAAGTTTTGCATAGTATTTTCTTTACTCTTTACTTCAAAAACTATGTCTAAGAAGGGTAATATTTTATGTATTTGAGACTGATGTGGGAACGATGAAGAGAGAGAGGGCAAACATTTTGCATTTTAGGTCAGCATTGCCGTCTAATCAGCCAATGCTGTCTTAAATAGCCTGCATAGCACTAGGCTTGCCGCGATAGACGGGGCTGACGGTGATACCGTTGTTAAGCCGCAACAGCGGTTACGTCATTTGCCCACCGCGTCACCGACCCCCACCGTCATTTAGATTTTTTTTATAGTAATAAAAATAATTTAGTTCAGTAAAAGAACAGACACTACAATTAAAAACTGAACGCGGCTGCTCAATGCAGCATGCCGAACGACAGTCGCATCACAGATCAGATTTCATTTCTCCAGTGAGG